GAAGCAGCTTGCCCCAGCCAGGAACAGTCACCAGAGGTGCAGGCACTGGTGAAGTGGCTGAAGAAGTGCATCAAAAAACGGCTGCATCTGTTGCAGTCCAGTACAGTCCAGGTGCTGACAGGCATGTGTGACCCGAGGATGAAGGGGAGCGTCTGCAGCAGCAAAACCCTCGATCACTGGATGGAGGTGCTGGCGAACAGAATCGGGGAGGCAGAAGGGCAGAGGTGAGGGAATGTGGAAGAGGGGGATCCACTTTCCTGTGCCAGTAATACTAGTATTACTTCAATCACAAGCCAATCTCTTCCACCACAGCCACTGCCAATGTGGGCTAGGGGCATGGCTTCAGTGTTGGAGTCCAGAGGCACCAAACCCCACCATGAGGCAGGCAGCACCAAGGCCTCAGCGGCTACCAATCGCCGAGGACGTGGAGACACTGCACTGCGACCCCTTGGCCTATTGGGCAACCCGCATCCAGGTGTGGCAGGATCTGGCCACGATTGCCCTGTTCTGTCCACCGACCAATGTTTCAAGCAAGAGGGTGTTCAGCATTGCAGGGGATGCTGTGGCACCCCACCGCACTTCCTTGGATCTTGGTTTGGTGGAGCAGCTGGTGTTCCTGAAGGTGAACCTCCCGCTGCTGGGATTCCCCAAGCTCCACGTGCAGACAGAATGAGTGCCACCCTCCTCACTCTGCACCTATTTCCTTTTTTTTTAATTTGCTTTCAGAACCTTGAGGTGCACTTTCACACAAACCCCTGCACCGCTCTGCCCGAAACCTGGCAGGCCTCATGCCCACACAAGGAGCTACCATCCCTGCTGCATTCATCCCACTCTGCCTTAACGCACACAAGTGATACAAGTTTTGCTTTCAACAGTTTGAGGTGCACTTTCACGGAAACCCCTGCACCTATCTCCTTGAAACCTGGCAGGCTTCACACCCTGAGAAGGGGCTACCATCCCTTCTGTTTTCATCTGAATGTGCAAAAAAAAATAATAAAAAAATGGCAAAGTTATAGGTATTTTAGTGATTCCCCATTATAGTCTGTGGCCAAATCTCGAAATCCAAATTGGCCAAATCGAATCAGGACAGTGATTCGAATCACCAAATTGAATCACGGTCCCTCCGAATCGGCCGAATCCGAAGCAAGTGCTTGCTGCTTCACACAGGCCTATTAGGTATAGTGCTTAGAGCAAGTAACTTCAATTTGCTAATCTGGGGAACTGTACAACTGACTCTAGCTGCTGCTCTGAGATAATGGCTTCCATTTCCCAGATCAGGAACCTGAGGAATTGGGACTGCTTACCTACCACCCGGTGTGATGGTTTGTTAATGTTTTTAACAAAGAAGTGCTGAAGCATTTAATCCATCTTTTGCTGCACCTTACGTTTTGTCAGCCTCCGTTGTGAACAGGTGACCAAGGCTTGCTGTCACTCACCACTTCTGCCTGGCAAGGAGAAGTTGAGAAATGTGTTTCTGCCTAGCACAATCCCTGCTTCTCCCATCCCCTCCCCACTACCTACGTTAGGTTTTTTTATTAATACAGTCATATAATCGCATCAAAAACATACAGAATAATACAATGAAAGTCCATCTTGCAGTCCAAGCCATGATCACAAAAGTTTTGGTGACCTTCCTCAAAGTTACTGTTTTGCTCAAAAGGAGAACAGGACTAAGTTCCATGTTGTCTCATCATTTCTGAGTAGACATATTTCCATGTTGCTTTTCTTTTATGGTCCACTTGTGTTAGATAATTGTAGCTTGGCGGTTGGATAGCATAAAAATCCACATACTTGTATCTTTTTTTTACTGAAGCAGATAACTTTACCATGATAAACACGTACCATAAATATGTTCTCTGTCCATTTTCCCATGTTTCTTTGGGTTGCCCGTTTCCATGTTCTGACTATCTGCAATGACAGCTGCTGAAGTGAGGTGGATGCATAGATATCTCTTTAGTTGGAAGCTTAGGGTATATTCCAGGAAGGAAAATATTGGTGAATTGAGCCACAAGGCAGTTATTGTACAATTTGTTTTTTGTTTTTGTTTTGTTTTTTTCCTTAAATAGCCAGAAACCCTGAATGACAGGACAGTTGTACCACATATATGAAGGTACCATTTTTACCTTTTTTTACCTATGTGCCTTCCAACATAGTTCAGAGTATGACCTGGATATTGTGTCGAGTCTAGATGGAGTAAGATATGTTCAGTGCAGTAATTTGACCGTAGTCTCTTTTCTTGCCAAAGAGCTGCTTATGGTCTTTTAAATCCCCATGCCTGACTTTTTTGCACATTTCTCCCTTATCTGTCATGGTTGTGCATGAAGGTTCTTCCCTCCTGTTTTGTGATATTCTGTTGGATCAGGTACAAATGTAAGTGAAGAAAACTGTACTCAGTTTTTCCATCTGTGTAAAATTCTCTACTAATGTGAAATGTACTAATTATTTCTCTCAAGTTGTCTTAACTGTTCCCTTTATCCTATAGTAGGATCAGAATGGTATTGTTTCTGTGATGAGCTAGGAAAAGCTTGTCCACATCTCTTCCCAACTACAAAGTTTGTCCATAAAAGATATCACCAAGCAAACCTTGCTTTTTTCCATCTTGTGGCATTCCCTAATACTGTTTGGTTAATTCCCATCAACATCAGGGGTTGTGAATTATTTTGTACCTTTTCTAATTTAGGGGCCCTGGATGAAGGTACATCATGGTAATGGAAAAATTATATTTATCATTCTCATTTAGTAGTCCTTAGCATACTGAATTTTGGCTTTACATTGTCCATTCCTGGGAGAAGTTTTCAGTTTTGTATAGGGTTGAGCAAAATGTTCTTAAGGTTTCAGAATCAGTTTAAGTGGTTAGAATCACAGGGGTTAGAAGGGATATCAGAAGTTATCTAGTCCAGCATCCTGCACAAATGCAGGGGGCACTGGCTGGTGGCTATTTATTTTCAGGAATTTGTTGAGTTTTGGTTAACCAGTTATCTTGTGGGGGGGGGGGGGGGGCGGGGGCTTCTGCTAGTTGAGGGTTAGACTAGATGACCTCTTGCAGCCCCTTCTCTACATGGCCTTCTTTGACCTCACCAAAGCCTTTGACTGTCAACCAAGAAGCACTGTGAAGGATCCTTCTGACGTACAGGTGCCCATCAAAATTCATTACCATTCTTTGCCTGCTCCATAACAGTATGCAAGCTGTAGTTCTCGATAACAGATCTATCACAGGTCACTTTGAGGTTAAGAGAGGAGTTAAGACAGGCTGCATCATCACTCCAACACTCTTCTCGATATTCCTCACTGTAATGCTACATCTGACCACCAGCAAGCTTCCAGTCAGAGTGGACCTAAACCACCGAATAGATGGTAAACTGTTTAATCTTAGCTGACTCTGAGCCAAACCAAAACCACCCCGACCTCAGTAATCATGCTCCAGTATGCTCATGATGCTGTCATCTGTGTTTACTCAGAAGCAGACCTTCAGGCAATCATTGACATCTTTACTGAGGCATACAAGAAAATAGGACTGATGCTTAACATTCAGAAGACTATGGTCCTCCATCAACAAACTCTTGATGAGTAGTCCCCAGCTCTGATCATTCAAATTCACAGTGAGACTCTGGAGACCATTGAACATTCCCGTACTTTGGAAGCCATCTGTCGCAGAAGGCTGACATGGACAAAGAAATCGAGCATCACCTCAAATGTGCAAGTGCAGCCTTTGGACGCCTGAGTAAACAGGTGTTCAAAGATCGTGACATCAGATCTGAAACCAAGCTCATGGTTTATCAAGCAGTTGCAATTCCCACCTTACTGTACAGAGCTGAGACATGGACAGTGTGCAGGAGACATCTCAAGCCACTGGAGAAGTACCATTAATGCTTTCTGCAGAAGATCGTTCAACTTGAATGGGAATATAGACACGCCAACATTAGCATCCTCTGGCGAGCAAACACCCCAAGCATCCAGGCGATGGTCATCCAACATCAACTTTGCCAAGTCAACCATATCATCTGGATGAGTGACTCGAGATTCCCAAAGCAAATTTTATTCTCCCAATTCAGTCAAGGTCCTCAAGAGGAGGGCAGAGAAAGCACTTCAAGGATGTTCTCAAGGCCAACTTGGGAAAAAAAAATGCAACATCAACATCAACTCATGGAAAACTATCTCCCCGGCCTGCTCCAAGTGGAGGGAAGAGTCTGCTGCAATGATCTCAGTACTTTGAAACCTCATGACAGCAGGAGATGGAAAAGCAGGAGTGGCAGAAACAGCATGTCGCAGACCAAATCAAGAACCCAGAGTCACCCATCTCGCACAGGAACATGTTCCTGAGCTGCAGCAGAGTCTGGTGCTCCTGAATTGACCTTGTCAGCCATCTTTAGATCCACAGATAAGACAGTCATGGAAAACAATCATCCTTGACTGCAAGGGGTTTCCAATGATGGCTATTTGTTTTCAGGAAGTTTCTGAGTTTTGGTTAAACAGCTGTCTGGGTGGGGAGGAGGTTAAATATGGGTGGTGCTTCTGTGATCAGAGGGTTGGACTAGGTGACCTTTTTGCAGCTCCCTCAGTCCTATTTTTTCTAAGATTCTGTTTTTAAAGTCTTCCCCTGAGATAGAAGGGCAGCCTTGAGTTGCTTTTACAAAAACAGTAAATGTTTGAAGCCATTTCTACTGAAGCAGTTAAACTAGCAGCATCTGAAGCATAAACCCCAAGCAAGCCCTCCACTAGAGTTAGCACTCAAGCACACCAAATACAAAACAAATCCCCTTTTTTGTCCATGGGAAAAGTGAATGATTAAAAGAATCAGAACAGCCATTGTAATGAAATAGTCTCTCCTTTTTGGGCTGCTAGACGCAGGTTACAACTTTAAACTTTCAGTTTGCTACCTTCTATGGGAAATTAGGAAATCTGTGACAAAGATAACACTGCCCACTGACCCCAGAGGAAACAGGAAGCAAAAACGGAAACAAGTCATTGCTGAGATGTCTCATTTGACCACACTGCATGGTGTGGAAGCAAAAGCAGTTAAGACAGGGTTTCTTTTTCTTTTTTGTATATGAGACCTCAGGCTACAGCAGCAGTCACCGCAGATACTGAACCTTTAGATACACATGCAGGAAAGAAGCAGAAGGATGATTATTTTTTACCTGAGAGAAACCCTTAGTTGCTAATGGCACATTTGGTACAAAGGAAACATTCATTCGGTGCAACATTCATCAGAAAAAATATGTGTCGGCCAGACCTTGTCATCAGGTTAGTGTATACTCGTGGCGTGTTTTGGCTCTTCTTTTCCTCCTAACTATAGAAGGAGTAGATCAACTGGATGCTATGTCCTGTAAAGAATCCTCTTTTGTCTTTGAGTGTCTTATTTGGATTAAGAAAGAATTGAATCCAATAGACTTTGTTTAAAAAATAAGAAGCGTGTGTGGCCTGGGGGAGGGTGAGCAGGCATTGTGACGCGCCGTGAAAGAAAAAGCAAGAATCGTGTTCTTGGCAAGTTTGTTTGTACGTGTTTTTCAGTTGCAGGCCTCCTTTCCCATAATACTTTCTTGGGTTCCACCGTATCCATAAGTGGTCTTTCAGAGAGAGCAGTGGGTAATACTCTGTTATGGATAACTTTTTTTTCCCCCAGGGAAAGGGAAGGGTTAAAAGAACAAGGCATGGAACTATGTAACCTAAAAAAATTAAATGTTGCCATCTGTTGGATTAGTATTAGAATTTCTAGTCCCAAAAGGGTTTAATGGGAAAGAAATTGGAGATCTCTGCAAGAATAGAAAATCCAGTGTCAAGAAAAGAAAGTAAATGGGTAGTTAAAACCTGAAGATTTGCTGAAGACATGTTGGGTTTCCCCTTCTCTCTCCTCAAGCAGTGCATTGCACAGACTTGCTGTTAGCATAGTGTTGTCTTAGTCTTCACTAGCTTATCTGTGAAATGGAGATTACAAACTCCAGACATCCTTACCACCATAGGTATTTACTCTGGTGTACTGTAGCTGAGTTATTTTATATGTTCGGAAACTTGTCAAATCAAATTGCACTTTCAGGAGCATCTTGTCAGGGTGAACTGGGATGAAATCCTGCCATATTTTAAAAGCTCCATAATATTCAATATATCTTGATCATAATTCACCCAGAGACACTGCTTGCCATTTATATTCTGGTCTAGTATTGGCTGTGCATGATTGGAAGACTGTTTATTTTGTTTTGAATGTGTCCAGGTTGGCCCTTGGTATGTAACAGCATGTGACTAGTATTACAATAAGCTATCACAATCAATAAATCATTTGGTTGCTGAAGACTGAGTGATAAGAGAAACTTGTGTTATGCCTAAATCCTGAGAGATATTAAACAGCCCCTACCTGGTGCCAAGTGCCCTCTCTTCCAGCAGATTTCA